GGCCGCGCCGCGCCGGGATTGGGCGAGCGCGCCGTCAGTCAGGCGCCGCGCGGGGCGTGCGGTGAGCTGAGGCTGCGCGGGCAGAGAGAGCCGGGGCCGCAGTGCCGGGCGCCCCGCGACCTGGCGTTGCCGAGGCCGCTCCTGCTGATTGTCGTGAGCCGTCCTTCTCCGCGTCGCTGGAGAGACCCCCGCGGCAGAAAGGACTGCCTGCGAGCTCCGCGCCCACAGATGCGGGAGCCTCCTGGTTTCTGAAGCTCCCGGGTCTTCCCACCTGAAGGGTTTTAGGGGCGGGGAGCCATAAGACAAACAAAAAGGCCTGGAAACGGGGGACGGGGATGTCAGAAATAGGCGTGAGTTGAGAGACAAACCCAAGTGAACGGGATCCGAGGGTCCTCCGGGCGCCCGGTATGTGGGCGGCTTCCCGTCCCGGCTGCCGTGGCCCTGCGGTTTAGTAGACAGTGACCTTCAGAGCCAGGGCCGCGCGTTCTTAGTTGCCCGGCCCAGGCACCTGCTGGACATCAGAAAATTGTAATAGTTCTCCTCAACGACACTTTCCCCGCACAGGCTGCCTCTCTCTCTCTCTTTTTTTTTTTTTAAATAAGAGATTTTGCCATATGGTACATGGCGCTTGTCAGAGATTAGGATTTGGGCACCCACGCACTTAGCCATCACCCGCCGTTTGAGACTCGAACCACAATTAACTGTTAGACCATCTGGGATAGGGCGACTGTGTTCGACAGAGAGACAGGGGAAATCATACACACCCTCACTGCCCCCACGGAGAGGTGTGCAGTGGGGATGGGGGGATGGCCACGTTGTAATCCCTTCTCTTCCATTCTCTTCTGGAGATTTTGGGCATGAATGTACAAGCACCCGGGGTGAGTTTCAGGTTGGTCTGGGACTCGAATCACGTCCGACTATTTAGGAGTCCAACGACATAACCATTTTGCCATCCACTGTTCCTGGATAGGACGTGTGTGTTGGATGGAGAGACCGAAGAAATCACCCCTACAGGGGGCCTGGCCACGTTGCAATCCCTCTTCCACAGTTGTGTTCTGGAGACAAGTCTGGCCATGGTCAGGACTCAAACCACGGTGGACTAGAGGCACTCCAGTGAAGTAACCATTGGGCCATCTGCTGGTCCGACTCCACTCTTAACCTCCTCTGTGGCTCCAGGCAGGTGTTGGGGAAGCCTACTGAATTAGGTTCCTTTTTTAGAGCACTGGTCTTTTACCCATCTGAACTGTTGAAATGGTTTGACCTTATCCTAACCCAGGTTGTAAACTCCATTAAGTCAGAAACCATGTCATGTTTTCAGAACCCTGTTCTGCTTTCCCCATGTCACATGATAAAATGTTCAGTAAGTATTATTTGAGAAGTTAATACCCGTTCCTTTGCCTTTAATCCTGGCCCTGACTGTAAAGAGTTCTCTTTTTTCTGCATTTAACTTTAGAATTGCTTGCTAGAGGGGGTGGCAAGTGGTGTGATGGTTAAGGTGCTGGACTCTCACATGACTGACCATGGTTCGAGTCCTGGACTTGAAGGCTTGCTTTCTCAATTTCACTCTCCCTCTCTCTCTGTGTGTCTCTGGTCAAATTGAAGAATAATAATAAATGAATTAAATATTTTTAAAAAATAAATTATTTACTAGAGTGCTTATGGTGCACGTGCTTGGCCTGTCATGTGTAGGATCCCTTGGTCAAGCACAGATTACCTATAGCCTCTTCCCAGCCTCAAATTGACTGGGTCAGGTAAACCATGAAACTGGGCAAGAGCTACTCTTGCCTACATTCCATTATTAGCATCCACAGTGACTAATGCAAGTGAAGCTTGAATTCATTCTAGGCGTTTAAATAACTGCATATTTTAATCATTGTGTCTCCCTATAAATTCATATGCTAAAGCGTTAACCCTCAATGTGACTATATTTGGATGATCTAGACCTTTAGGAGATAATTAAGGGTAAATGAGATCTTAATGAGAGGCCCTAATCTAATATTATTAGTGTCTTTATAAAAAACAATAGAGGGACCAGCAGATGCCGAAATGGTTAAGTTGCTGGACTCATGGGTGACCGCGATTTGCGTCCCAGACCCGGAAGCTTGAAGCTCATGCTGTGTGCATGTGTGTGCATGCACGTGCGTGTCCAAAATCCCTAGTGGAGAATGGAGAAGGAATTGCAGTGTGGTCATCCCACCCTGTGGAGTGATTTTTCACTTTTTGTCCCTTTGTCCAGCGAGTACACGTACCCTGTAGCAAAAATCTCTCAAGAAACAAAAAAATAGAGGTCAGCAAGTGGTGTGGTGGTTAAGTGCTGGACTCCCACTTGCCAACTGTGGTTCAAGTCCCAGGCCTGGTGCCTTGCTTTCTCTTCTTTTTCTCTCTTGTGAGCATGTGCACCCTGTAGCAAATTTTAAAAATAATAATAAAATTAAGTAATATTTTTCAGAGTCTTTTGGTTTCTTTTGTCATAAGGTACATGTGCTCACCAGAGACAGAGAGAGACAGTAAGAAGGAAAGTGAGAAATCACACCCCTGAGGGGGATGGCCATGCCACCAATCCCTTCATTCTCCTCATGGGATTTTGGGCATGCACACACCTGGCATTAGTTTCAAGCCACTGGGTCCCGGACACAAACCACAGTTGACCATGTGAGATTCCAGCGCCTTAACCATCACATCACCTGCTGCCCCCAATAAATCTTTAAAAAGAGAGAGAGACTAGAGAACTCACTCTCCATGTATAGACACTGGGAGAAGGCAACCATCTGCAAGCCAGAAAGAGAAACTTCACAAACTGTGTGAGTTGAGTGACACACCCAAATAAGGTGCCATCTGACACCTTAGTCTTGGACTTCCCAGCCTCCAGAACTGTGAAAAAAATTAATTTTTTAAAAAAATTTTTGTGATAGGGCACGTGCGTTTGCCAGAAAGAGACAGACAGCAAGAAATCATCCCCTGGGGGGATGGCTACTCTGCAGTCCCTTCTGCACTCTCCTCTCAGGTCCTGGGCATGCATGCACATGCACCCAGCATGAGTTTAAGCCAATGGGCCCGGTACTCAAACCATGGTCCACAACATGAGAGTCCAGCAACATAGCCATTACGCCAACTACTGATTCCTAATTTCTAATTTTTTCTTTTTTTTTTTTTTTTGGAGAGGTTTTTGCTATAGGGCACGTGCGCTCACCAGACAGAGAGAGACAGAAAGACAGAAAGCAAGAAATCACCCCCCAGGGGGATGGTCACACCGCAATCCCTTCTCCATTCTCCTCTCGGGATCTTGGGCACGCACGCACACGCGCCCGGCGTGAGTTTCAAGCCACCGGGTCCGGGACACGAACCATGGTCGACTACATGGGAGTCCAGCGACATAGCCATTACACTAACTGCTAGTTCCTCTAATTTCTAATTTTTAGGGCACTTAATATGTGGTATTTTGTTATGGCAGCCCAAGCTAATATGATGGCTTTCTTATCTGTTTATACATCTTATAAAGTTTATGAATGGAAATGATACTATTCAGTTGTTGGAAAAGTCATGACACATTTTTACATAGAAAAAATACATCATGACCCTTCCAACCACACAATATATTCATCTTTGAAGCTGGCAAAACCATTGTCCAGAGGTTAAAACCATTTATCCAAAACTATACAGCAAAATTTTTAGTACACCTTGACTCAACTGTTAACTCTAGTTAGATTGGAGCAGTAATATAAACACAACAGGTAAAAACAGTCCTTTTTTGTCATACAAGGTACCTTATACTGCTATACTAACTTACCCTTAAGTGGGGTTATTAAATATGCTAAATTCATAAGTTTAGATTTTACTTTATAAGGGAATCTATATTGTGAGTAAACCAATAATCTGAGCAAACCCGTCACAAGATTTTGATTCATATCTCTTGATTACTTTATTTCACCTCTTGAAGCAATAAAAGTAGCAGCTGCAAGGGAGAAATCTTAGATCTGCTTTTTCACGAAAAGGTAAACATAGCTTTTCCTCTTAATTTCATTTATTGAATTTCCTCATCATCCATTCTTGCCGAGAACCCTTGGGGAAAAAAATACATGAAAAACAAAAGGATTCAAAGAAGAATAAGGGAGCAACAATGAAGTAGGGAACCATAGAGGGACAAAGTAGGTAGGCAGAAAGTCAGGTATGAAACTGCACTCAGAAGAAAAGGAGTCTGTGTGAGTTGTCCCAGAGGTTCCCTTTCACACACTTGTCTTCCCCAACTTCCAAACTTAAATTTGCGCATGGCTGCTGCTTCCTCTCTTTCAGGAGAACGGGGGCCCAAAACACGAATCATTCTTGTTAATTTATGCTGAGTCAACAAAGGACTAACTAGAATCAAGTAACAACAAAATTTAAGTAAAAACTTATGACCTGGAGGTGGGGCTTTGGATATGGTTAGCTAGTTTGTCTAGGATAAAAACATGCAGGCAAGGGACCAGCAGTTAGTGTAATGGCTATGTTGCTGGACTCCCACGTAGTCAAACAAGGTTTCCCCATGAAGCAGGGCATCTTGACCCACGGCCATGTCTGCCTGTTACTGAATAAGGGACATTCCTGTTACAGACCAAGGAGAACTGGAGAAAGAAAGCACAAATCTGTTTGGGGTTGCATTGTGGATGCCAATCTGAGCATTCTCGACTTGGTTATTGTTAA